ACGGATAGACTTATCTTCACTACCAGAAGCTAATATATTTCCATCAGGAGAGAAACAGACTGACATGACAGGATTTAAATGACCATCTAATTTGGCTTTTTATTATCCTGTTTTGACATCCCATAGACGGATAGACTTATCACTACTACAAGAAGCTAATGTATTTTTATCAGCAGAGAAACAGACTGACTAGACATAATGAGTATGACCATCTAATTTGGCTTTTTATTCTCCTGTTTTGACATCCCATAGACAGATAGACTTATCTTCACTACCAGAAGCTAATGTATTTCCATCAGGAGAGAAACAGACAGACTTAACACTTCTATGATGACCATCTAATTTGGCTTTTTATTATCCTGTTTTGACATCCCATAGACGGATAGACTTATCTTAACTGCCAGAAGCTAATGTATTTCCATCAGGAGAGAAACAGACTTAGTTGACAGTACATGAATGACCATCTAATTTGGCTCTTTATTATCCTGTTTTGACATCCCATAGACGGATAGATTCATCATAACTGCCAGAAGCTAATGTATTTCCATCAGAAGAGAAACAGACTGAGTTGATAAAATCATCATGACCTTTTAATAAGGCTTTTTATTATCCTGTTTTGATATTCAATAGACGGATAGAGTTATCTTAATTAACAGAAGCTAATGTATTTCCATCAGGAGAGAAACAGACTGACTATATACTTCTATGATGACCATCTAATTTGGCTTTTTATTATCCTGTTTTGACATCCCATAAACGGATAGAGTCATCTCCTTATACCCAAGGAATTCCGCTTCCACCTGCAGAAGCTAATGTATTACCATTAGGAGAGAAACAGACTTAGTTTACAGTGCTACTATGACCATTTAATTTATTCAATTCATGGATTTTCAAGTTCTTCCATTAACAATTGAATAGTTAAGCACCATTCAAATTCAATCCGCTGATATCTACATTATCAAACTCAGATCCACTAAAGTTACATCTTACAAAATTTCCTCCAATTACAGAAGTATTCTTTATTCTGATATTCTCTAAGGACTGGTTCCTAATATCAACCTTCATCTAAACTAAGGTATGTAATGAATTAGACCCACATTAAATTAAAGTGCCATCTATGGATGTGAGATGAACTAAAAATTACAGAAATTCTATGATCTATTTATTATCCTTGATGCTATTAATTAGAAATAATTTAGATTCTTCATTTTCTTCAGAGGAAAAGTCTTTGTTGTTGAAGTCATGATCTTTTAATTTTTTTAAGACATCTGTCATTTTTTTGATGTCTTCTCTTACTAGAGACAATTTTTATTCTTTATCAGCTTGGGTAATATTCCCTACTTATTATAAAATTTATAATTCTAATTGTTTCTGATTCCCAATATCTAATAAAAATCCAATGCAATCTTTATCTATCTCCTTTCTTAATATTTCTAATATGACACCAAAGATTTATATATCTACATCTTTTACTGAATCAAAGATGTCAGTTAGAGCGCCATTCTATAAAAAAGAGCTCTGCATTTTCTTTTTTTATTTTTAATTTTGAATTTTTATCTCTCTAATTTTCAATTAAATAATGAAAAACATCGTTAATAGTATCTTATGCATTTTAGTAAATTTGAAGTTTAAACATTGTGTATATTCGAAATTGATAAGAAAAGAGGAAGATTATAGCATTGAAAATATATTTTAACAGTTGCATAGCTAGATTCTTGAAAAATATAGAATGTCTTATTTGGATATGAAATATTTTAATATATACATAATTTGAGTTCTATGATTGATTGATTCATCCCTCTTGTTTATCATCTCTATTTCAGTATAAATAAAGATTTTAGTTAACAATTTACAGATTGGAATAAGACTGAACAAAATCTTGTTACTACTTAAAATAAGTTAAATGAGTGATTTTAACACCAGGATTAGTGAAATAATCAGTAAAATAGTTAAAGGAGTAGATCTTTTCTATTTATTAGGAATAAATATGAATAGTAAGGCTTTTCAAGTTAGACCTATTTTTTGAGCTTTGAATTTTTCAGTTCATAATGAGGCCTTTTGGATTGTTCTTGATGTCTTAGAAGATCAATAGAGGACATATGTAAGGGTTTTAAACTATAGGTAGTCTCTCAAGGATGTTTAAAATTACTTGATGGAAAACCAAGAAAGATGGTCATAAGAATTGGGTAATGTCGGTCTTCTAATAGAAATATAATAGCTACTGATAGTAGATATGAGTCTAATTGTCTATAAGGATTGTTAAAACAGAAAAAAAAAAATTTAAATGACCATAGGATTTGAGTAATGTGATTCTCTTCTGATAGAAATACATGAGCTTCTAGTAGTAAAGATAAGTCTATCAATTTAAAGGGATTTTAAAAAGAGCAACAGAATGCAATTGCCAGGAGAATAGGGTAATTTAAGTCTGTTAGAGAAATATAGAGGCTTCTGATAGTTGGGGTCGCTCTGCCTATAAAGATGCGAATAAGGTTTGGTAGAAACCAGGTGAGATGGCATCGTAGTTGGGTAAATTCAATCTGTTTCTCATCTGATGGAAATACATAA